TGGTCTACGGTCTACATCAAGTCTTCCCTGGGAAAACCAGAATGCACACTCACTAATTCATATCAGACATTAAATTTGCAACATTTATGTGATTTAATTCCAAAAGTCAGCAAACATTTACAAATGTCTTTTTTTTCTTTTTGTGTGTGTTTTGTTTTGTTTTGTCTTTCATAAGGTCTCTCTAGGCCCAGCCCAACTGGAAGTCACTATGTGAACTAGGCTGACCTCGATCTCCCAGAGATCCAACTGCCTCTACCTCCCAAGAACTGGGACTAAAGGCCCATGCCACCATGCCAGGCATTACTAAGCACTACTAAAGCAGACATTCAGAGGTTTGTTTTTCATGTTCCTAATATTGAAACAGGTGTGAAGCCTTGTGCTGAAGGGCCTAGAGTAACTGTTGGATCATGATTTTAACAACACAACTACTGACCGTTTTTTAAAAATGCAGCATGGTACCTCATCCAACCAGAGTTAAATCACAGCTGGAGATCACATACAGAAGACCAGGAAATGAAATCCAGGCAGTTGTCACCACCCCAGGGCACAGGTACCTGGTAACAAGCATCTGTAAGAGCAGAGAGGAGCAGAGAGGGCAATTGTCAGTCAGTGGGAAACAGGAAGAGCACAGCAACTTACACCTCCAATGAGATCTGCCCACCCACTCGCAGTAACTAAATCAAAGTTTTACAACTTAACCATGTTTGAATAAATCAGAAGTTAAATGTCAGATAAATACTCACAGTTAATGGCTGGATAAGCAAAAAGATGAGTTTTTGTCCAACCACAGTCTGTGAAAGAGGCAGCTGGACACACATGCAAGAATGGGGAAGGGAAACAGACACGTAGAGTTTGACAAACGGTCTCCAAATGAGTCTGCTTCCTCTTTTTTGCCAAAACAATCCACCTTGGACATTTAAGAAATGGATTGCATGTTTATAATACAACACTTGTCTCGATGAATCCTTAGTCTCGTCATATAATTCAGGCTACTGAGCTTCGCAGAGTTTATCACCATGTCATAAAGCTATGAAGAGTCAAAATTAAAGATTTGAACAGAGAATTGGCATTGTTGAAAGCTAGTAAAGAAAAGTTCTCCAATAGAATTTAGGGGACTTAATTCATTTGGGCCAAGAGCTACTTATATAGCTTAAGGAAGGACCTTAAGTAAAAGGAGATAAATCCTGAGGGTAGAAGGTAGCTGTGAGTTTGTTTCCCCAAACTAAAAATATTCATGTGTGTGTATAAACACACACATTACAATAGTGTAGCTGTAGTTCCTTCTTTTTCACAATCATACCAGAATAAAATAACTGTTTTGCATAGGAACACTTGTATGTAGTCACAAAAGCTACATTACAACAATCATAGATTTCTCTGACCAAATGTCATTCTCCTTATAACCTGTACTCAGTAGGTAGAAACAGAACTTACAAATAGCTACCAAACACTGCAACTGTGCGTGAACATCATACCTAGTCATCCACACAAAAACGTGTACTATATCCATAGAAACACTTATGCAGCCATTCCGTTACACAAAGCATTCAATCGCGCAAAATATCCTATCAAGAAGAAATTATTTTCAGATCCCTATTGTCTACATCTGTCTTTCTAACAGAAGGAACTGGCTCTACAAGTCAATGCCCTACTAAATACACTGTATTAATACAAAAAGCACAGAATTCATACATGTTCTCACATAAATACACAAATATTGTACCAGAAAATTATTCTTCATCTTCCTATCACCTGTCATTATCCTTGATAAGCTCAAATATCTTCCATTCAAGATTATTTGCTGATCCTTCACTTTCTGTTCATAAGGAAGAAGATCCCAAAACAGGAAGAAGCTCTCCTGCCAAAGGGTCTACTGAATGCTCCTGTCTGTTTTCAAGCAGCATAACAGTAGACAAGATGTGCACCTATGAACAAGATTAGTGCCCAGGAGAAATAGCCCAAGCTTCTAGTGAGAAAATGAGCCAGCATGCACTAATTGTCCAATTCCATGCATTGCCCATGGGAGGGGATCTGTGAAGGGACGAGATGGGCTGAGCCATAAGAGGCACAGGAGAAAGTGTGCTTGACCTGCATGCTGGTGTCATGAGAAGCACCAGTGGCCGTGGTCATCACAGCTTCTGATGCAACAGAGCAGGGTCCGAAGTAATCACAGATCACATGCTGTGTTCAGGCAAAGCAAGGCTTCCCTCACAGCCTCACACAACATTGATGCCTTTTACAACTCATAGCACATTGATGCCTCACAGTCTATTTTTAATGGGACTTTTTGCTACTCTAACATTCTCCCCCTCTGAAGAGGTAACCCTGAAGCCATTTTAGGGATTACATAAGAGCTTCCAAATACTTTTCACATTTTTAGACTTTGGAACAGAGTATATAGCTAAGAGGCTGAAGGACATTTTGACTTTTACCAAGAAACTGGCTACTTTTCTTTGGGGTTTTTTACCCTAACTGCCTAGCCAATTCCTACGTCCTATTCTTATCACACCATCCTCTGAAGAGGTTACCCAAATTGCTGATAGGGAATCGAGGTGCAGAACATTCTGGCTTCTTCCACGCTGAATAGGGAGACAGGGGGAGGCAATTGGAGTACCCTTTCAGTGGGTCTATCTAAAAGACTCCCAAATTACATAACTCTTATCTGTACAGAGAAAAGAAAGTCTTTGACTGCTGAATAGGAGATGCAAAGGAGAAGTAAAGGCAAGAGTAGTGAGCATCGCAAGTTCTAAACAGGGAACCAGAAAAAAGGAAAACGGCAAATTTCAAATGTTTGTATCAGAGTCCATTAGGATTTCTTGACAAGAGCTTCCAAAAGCATCCCTATGTTGGGTTCCTCCTCATTTTTCTTTAGTCTTCCATGGCTGGACTCGAGAGTGATGGACTCAGGATTTGTTTGCAGGCATTTTGATAGTT